ACCCCATACTCCCGGAGAACCCCCCACAAGGCCCCCCTTGGGACACGGTCGAACGCCTAAAACACATGTAGACAGGTTGGGCGAACTCCCATGCACCCTCCAGGACCCTGCTGAGGGTGTAGAGCTGGTCCAGTGTTCCACGACCAGGACGAAAACCACACTGCTCTTCCTGAATCCGAGGTTCGACTATCCGTCGGACCCTCCTCTCCAGGACCCCTGAATAGACCTTACCAGGGAGGCTTAAGAGTGTGACCCCCCTGTAATTGGAGCACACCCTCCGGTCCCCCTTTTTAAACAGGGGGACCACCACCCCAGTCTGCCAATCCAGGGGGACTGCCCCCGATGTCCATGCGATATTGCAGAGTCGCGTAAGCCAACACAACCCTACAACATCCAGAGCCTTGAGGAACTCCAGGCGGATCTCATCCACCCCCGGGGCCCTGCCACGACTTTTGGAAGATGATAAAAAAAATGCCACTAACTTCACTGTTGATGCTGTCATGGAAATGTGCAGTAAAACCCGATTTTTGACTAGTGGACTGCTTTATTAACATGAAACAAACCCCAACAATTGAGTCAGCCGCTGATGTCTGATTGCTCCACCCGTCTCACCCACACAGTGAAAAACTGCTGCGACTCCATAAAACGCCTTGTAAACCCAATTAGCTCCACTTTACTTTCTCTGAGCTTTCATCTCCTTTTCTTGTGGATTTCATTTTAATCTTTCTGTATTTCTTTGTGTCCTCGCAGCCTGTTTCATGTTTTAATTGTTTCAGTTTATGAGCAGATATAAGAAAGAATAAAATATTGTAAACGCTTAGTTTGATTTCTGTTTTTCTTATCTTTTTCAAAATTCTCCCTGTGCATTACTTCCTCCTACATTTCGTACTTTCACCCCTCCATCCTGTTTTTCTTCTCGTCTACTCGCCCTCTGCTATTTGCCGGCTGCGTGAGGGAAACGGTTGTTTTTAACTCTGAATTTCTTGTGGCTGACCACAGTTTTATATTTAGGCCAAGGCTGCAGTTAGGCTTGAAAATGACTGAGATCACTAGGAGTGACTGCGCTCTCTCGCTCACAGTGTGTGTGTGAGTGTGAGTGTGTGTCTGAGGCTAACCAACTCTATTCAAACCCTTGAAGCAGGTCCCAGTGCAAACAGGTTTCCTGCAGACTAACAGGGTGTGGTGTGGGTCTGTTTGTGGGGGATGCACAGATGTGGTCGCTGCGTTCAGTGACACATGCATATCTGCAAGCGATGACCCCGTCTGAGTAAACAGAAAGATAAATAAAACTTTGTCATTGTTGCACTAAAAAGAACACTGCGGTCCACAGACAATGAACAACGAAATCATTTTGTAGCTCCTGTAGTGCAAATAATCAGAACATTAAAAAAGGTAAAACAAGAGGTAAAAAAATGAATAAAAACGTAATAAAATAAAGATAAAAATGTAAACAACAACCATAGCAAATAAATCAGATCATTAAAAAAGATAAAATAAGAGGTAGAAAAACATTTTAAAAAGTAAGATAAAATAAGATTTAAAAATGTAAAAAAAACAACAACAACAACAGTACAACAGTAAACTGGCAAACAGTGTTTTATAAAGTACCTCAAAGTGACACTTGAGTAAAAGTACACGTATCTTATCATAAAAACACTTTGGTAAAAGTTAAAGTATTCTCTAAAAATATTACTTGAGTAAAAGTCTTAAAGTACGTGATATTTTTTTGTACTTGTACTGTAAATTTCTGACACAAAATCTACTTAAGTATTAAAAGTAAAAGTACTGAGTAAAAGTGAGCAGTTAGATTTTACAAAATGACATTTATTGGGAGGTGACTTCTCCAAAAAYTATATTTTCTAACAGCGTGCAGCTGTGATGGGTTGTGTACAAGCTAATAGTGTGTCAGAATGGTATATATTTATACTTCTCATCCAAACACAATTAAATTCACTCTATAGGAGACACAGTTTATCAGGATAGGATTTTTTTTTAAGTAATAACACTCAGAATAAAACAGGAGTAACGACTTTATACTTCTTACCTTTTTGAAAAATGTAGTGAGTAGAAAGTACAGATAATTGTGTAAAAATGTAATGAGTAAAAGTAAAAAGTACACTGAAGAATAATTACTCAAGTAAAGTACAGATAACCAAAAATTCACCTTAAGTACAGTAACAAAATATTTGTACTTAGTTACTTTACAACTCTGCTGGCAAAGTGTTGTTATTGTGGAAAAGTCCAGACGTAACTCCAGAAATCCAGAGTTTCAGGCTTTTTTTTTTGGCTTTTCTCTTTCCCTGAGAAGCACTTTATGTTGTTTATTATCTCACCGAGAACGTTTGTGTGACAGTTTATGAACCAAAGCTACTGGACACTCCTTGGTTTCATCCCTCTCACACATTTCAGGTCCTGTTTCCTGCGTCTTGCTTTCTGCTTCGAATCCAACTGGTTTCTGTGAGAGATTAGCTTTTTCACTAACCTTGAAAACCATTATCTAACAATTAGCTTCCACGAAATCAGGTTTTGCCAACTTTAGTGCGCTAACAGCTAACTAACAGGCTAACATCAACAGGTTTGTGTCAGTCTCACCAGTCTTCAGCTAGTACAGGGGTCTGCAACCTGCGGCTCTGGGGCCACATGTGGCTCTTTGGTCCCTCTGCAGTGACTCTTTGAAAATGTGACCAACAGAATATATTTATTTTTTGGGTTTTTTTAATACTCACAACAGAAATAAATTTGTATGCAAATATGTGATCAATAATACAAAAGATAAAACATGTTAGCTCATGCTAGCCTAACATTTACTTTAATAATCCAACTTCTTTCTATGATCTTTCTTTCAAATCTATCAGAATTACCTTTAAATAATTTTAAAGCTACATAATAATAAGTACTAGAAAAAGATATATACCTGAATAGTTCAGTTGAACTAGTTTTTAATAAGATCGGTTAAAAAAACTATATACAGAATTTTTCTTGTTTACATCAATCTGGTCTTTTCATTTGTCCTGATGTGCAAACATAATAAATAATAAAATTCACAATATATTTTTTAGTTTTATAATGTCACCTCCACTGGCCATAAAGTTTCCTGAAAAGGCCTTGAAAAGGCCCACAGACCACCAGTTGATAATCAGAGCTGTAGCTTGTTTTGCGGCTCTAAACACATTTTATTAGTGAGACAAGGAGCAGAAATGACTCTTTTGATCGTAAAGGTTGCAGACCCCTGAGCTATAAGGAAACAAAGACGTGTGACGCAGACTGAGAGTCATTTTAGCGGTTAGCTGTTAGTGTTAGCTTCTGCTATTTTTTGTTTTTGTTTAGTGTCAGGGAAGCTATATTTTTAGTTAGCAGATTTAGGGGTACGACAACACATGTACCCATATCAAACCGTTCAACACAGTGCTTTAGGTTCAATACACACTTGTATGGAACAATACAGATTTTTAAAATTTACTTTATCAACTTGTCTTCTGAAGATGCTCTGTGTTGAAGGATCAGTGGATCTGTGTTCGACTACTCCACCTAGGCTGTATTTTTGAGCACAGATCCACTGAGAAACTTGCTGTTTCAGCAACATTTAATTTAAAAACTGTACAAATGTTCATAATTAATTTAAATAAATTACAAGTTAAAATGGGCATGGAAATTTCTCTTTTTTTGTATCGAAAAAATATTGAACCGTGAGACTAAAGTATTGAACCGAACCGTGAATTTTCTGTAATCATTGCAGCCCTGAGCGGATTATGAGTTAGTGAACCTTAGCTGTCCTCCAGCTGTAACGGTTCTGCTTCCTGTCCCTCTGCAGCACCGAGGCGTTCAGCGCTGAGCGCGGAGCGAGGGAGGGCGCCACCAAGGTGATGATTGTGGTGACAGACGGGGAGTCGCACGACGGGGACGATCTGCCGGACGCTTTGAGCGAATGCGACAGCAGGAATATCACCAGATATGCCATCGCTGTGAGTCCATTTGAGCCAACACCAGCGAGTTTAACCACTTAATTACCAACAAGACAGCTGTGGAAAACACACCAACAGCTAACACACATGGTGAGCGGGGTGCGCAGAGCATCCCTGACATTCCTCACACATTGTGCAGATGCTGGTGTGGTTAATGCATACACCCAAAAGCAACCACACAGTATCAGCACCACTCCTCTGAAATAACTTTACCAAAACTACCACATGAATCTCGGGGCTCGACTAAAATAACCAACTGGGAAAAAAACATAAACCCCATTCCTGTCTGGCCCCACCCGACCCCTCAACACACAAAACACGAGTGGTTAAATATTACAGGAGCAGACAAGCTTTAGACTCCACAGAGGAGGGTGCAGCACTGACGACAAGACTTCTGGACACAAGATCAGTCAGCAGCAGCATCTGATCAATCTGTGATCCATGATGTAAATGTAACATTTTCTACATATAGGTCAAATTAATCACTGCGATAAAATAACTTTGTTTTTGTCACTTTTACAGTGGATTGCATCAACTCTGTTACATCCAGAAGGGAAACTTCACCAAAGTGAAACATAAATCTGTGGATCTGTGTTTGATTACTCTGCCTGGCTTTCTCAAGGACCAGGATGTGACACAAAAATCTGAATTTGTAGTCAAACTGAATTTTTAATAAACTGAAATACAGTTTCAAAGCAAATTAATTCAGATACAAAACTTTAAATTCAGTTTCAGTTTAGAGAAATTCATTTTCAAACCAACGCATTCAGTTTGAAATTATGATACAGATTCAATCTGATCAATTCAAATTCATTTTCTGTTGGCACAAGATTTATGCCATAGACTCTCGTCCTTCTGTCCGTCCTCAGATGAAACTTGTCTCCTCACCTGTTGTTTCTGTTTTCTTCACTGCCTGCAGGTTAATTTCATGCTGGAGTTTGAGTTCAGCTGCACTTCTTTACAAAGTCGAGTGCAGATGAAGCTCAACGCAACCAGGTGTTTTAACGCAGGTGTTTTGTTGAGATTAAAGAGGTTTTCTTCGTCAATAAATCTGTTTAATCCCATCTTTTCTGTGTTGCAGTGACAGTATGGAGAGAGAGGACACATTACTGGACAACAGCGTCCAGCTGCAGACTTTTGTTCAGTATCAGCCCGACCTGTTTGTCAGCAGGTGGGCGTTCACATCTGTCGGTTTCATTTTCATTTTTTCTTAAAATAAAAAAATTAAAATCACACATGGCTCTTTTTCTTTTCCTGTGAAGCATCTCTAATCTGAACCGCTACGAGGTCCATCCCACACGGTCGGCATCAGAAGCAATCGGACCAGAGTTTTACACACACTTCAAGGTAAAGAACCGTCTGAAGTTGTCCATGTTTGAAGAGCTTCAACTTGGAAAAAACTCTCAAATAACACAGAACTATTCAAAAAGTCTCGTGTCATCTTTTATTAAGAAAAAAAGTTCTTTGTGTGGTCTCCTGCTGCGTTTTCACTCTGTGTCCAGTAGCTGAACAGTTTTAGAGGCATGTTTTTTTTAATTTAATTTCATCCTGAACTCAAAAGGATGATTTTCTAATCATAACAAACAACTTAAAACATTTAAATTCAATCTTTAGGCATTTAATTACAGCCTGTCTTTAAAAAGAAACATATTTTGATCCCATTTTCTCTTGTAGAATCTATGAGAAATACAAGTTTGACACATAAACTAGCATTTTAGCAGCTTTAAAGTACCTGTGACATCATATTCTTCAGATACAAAAAGTCAAAGAAAACTTTTAAAACCTTTATATTTAATAAACTTGGCATAGTACACACGATTTCACCATTTTTCACACAACTGTCATACTTTTCTTTTGAACTTGGCTCAGCCAAAGTGAAACAGGAAGTGACATCAAAGGGGAACTCTTTAAGAAAGGAACTCCATGATTCTTTGTCTCTGATAGTGACTGTCGTCGCATGATTTACCAAGAATGCAGAAACACGTTGGAATAATGCACAGAAAGTCTGCGTGTATGGTCGCCATAATGATTTAATTCTTGAGCAACAAAACAGACGTCAATCATGAAGTCTGTCAGGCTTGTCGCTCAAGAATTAAATCATTTTGGCGACCATACACGCAGACTTTCTGTGCATTATTCCAACGTGTTTCTGCATTCTTGGTAAATCATGCGACGGCAGAAATTGGCGTTGTTGGCAGGATCCACTAGCAAATCTTGTTCTGACTTTAATCATTTTATCTGCAGATGAACAGCATGTCATGAAAATCTAGGTCTTTAAAGGATGTCATGAATTACTTGCTTAAACATAAAAGTATTAGTTCCTCCACAGTGACTGAAAATAATCTAAAGAAACATCAGATTCTTCTCTAAACTCGGTGACATCAAACATCGCAGCAACGCTCTGTTTACATGCAGACATTCCCCTTTGACATCACTTCCTGTTACTTCACATGCGAATATTTCAACAACTCGTGAACATTTTTTGCAAATGTGTTATTATTTTTCCAAAAATTAATTCTTATTTATTATAAGAATTTGCAATCACAGGCACTTTGAGTGAGTCCCATAAAGCTATTAGCTGAAAACTTGGCATTAGCGTCATTTTTGTGTGCTCACCCTGCACAAGAACTGAACAATAAATGAATTTAAAGCAGCTAAAGGTAAAAAAGAATATGTTGAAAGATCTTCAGAAATCCTGAAGAACTACAAAAATTATAATAAATTGTAGAAAACTCAAAAATAAAACATCAAAAACGGTTGGTTTCAATGTTTCCACAGTGCTGCACTCGTGTCATCGCTGCAGAAAACACAAGAAAACCTTTAAATTTGTGTTTGTAGCTGCAGAACCTCGGCTGTTACACTCTGAGTAACCTGGAGCTGCACATGTTTCTGCCCTCTGTGGCTGCAGGAGACGCCGTCTTCATGACCGTCACTGATGTTTATGCGTTTAATGTGAGTACGTTGTGTGTCCAGCTGCACCCTAACTCCTTTAAAAGACAGTGTTTGATGTGTTGAGGTTTCTCTTCCAGGCGTCAGGAGTGACCTGCAGCGTGCTGAGTGACGTGGCCCGACTGAAGGCCAGACAGAGAGACGTACGGCCCCTCCACACTGAAGACATGTTACACAACGAAATACTGGTGAGGCCCACTGCACACCGCCCATATATGAACACTCCTAACCAGTGTTGTATAAAGCAGTGGTTCCCAAACTTTTTATCTTCTGACCCTCAAAATATTCATGGCAAAAACTTGTGACCCCAAATATTACTGGTCTGAGTACACGAACTTCATTAACAACCCTAAAAACACAGGATTTTTGACAATTTAAACAGCTTGTACACAAATATAAATACTTATTTATACTTATTTTGTGTTTTGTAATAATTATAGGGAAAATATTACATCAGCAATTATTTTATTACCCTTTAAATTGATTTCTGGAGATTATCCAAGGTGCTTCATGATCCATAATTGGGTCCTAAGCNTTCAGATTCAGTTCCTGCTGGCACAAGATTTATCCCGTACACATGATTCATTTTAGTAAAAAGTTAAAATTATCTGACCCACAAATAAACATAAATTAAAAGCTGATAACACATTTTTTTTATTTTCCTGTCCTGTTTATAACCAAATTCTCAGGCTTATTGTGCTCACCTTCGGAATTTGAATTATGGAACTGAAAGTGAAAGTAGTCAAACTAAATTTTTAATAACGCAAAATACAGTTTCAAAGCAAATGAATTCAAAATCAAAACTTTAAACTCAGTTTCAAATTAGTGAAATTTCATTTCAAACCAATACATTCAATTTCAAATTATGAACATTCAGATTCAATCTGAGCAATTCAAATTCAATTCCTGCTGGCACAAGATTTATTCCATACATGGGGAAAAAAAGAAAAAAAACACATTCAGCATGGATTATAATGAAGTTATTTTTGGTCTAAATGACACCTTACAGCAAAATCAAGTGGAAAAACAACGTAGGTTTAATGCTTCTTGATGGGTTTGATGAGGATAAGGTTTGTCAACAAGATAAGTGACCATGTCTGCAAAAAGAAAAGCAAACACACACAATAAAAGAGGAGAACTGAAGAGTGAAACCTGACAGCCAGAACAAATTATGATGAGGAGAATGTGAGCAAAACACAGACTAAACTAAAAACTCACATGTTCTGATTCGAGCGTCTGTGACCCAGAGCAGGGGTGTCCGATCCGGATCCTCCCTGATCCAGATGAGATAGGAAAACACTCGGTCCTAAGGGTGGGCAAAACCTGAGCTAGAAGCACGTTGCAGCACTTTGTAGAACCTCAAGTCTGACTTAAGGCGACATTTGAAGATGTTTTGACTCAACCTCAGGGTCGTTCATCATTTGGAAACCATCTGAACTCATGACTCTTTGTATTGTTAGCTCTGGAATATGCCATGCTACCACAGAACCATCATTTCATTCTTTCCTCTTCTCTGTTCACTTTCCTTTAAAAATCATCGTAGGTCGGTTCCCTTTGAAACCTTTTCAGTTTCTAGGGAACCCTAATGTACATATTTATGAGTCTGCATGCTACACCCCAGCACATCCCCTGCTCTTTAAAAAAAAGAGGATTTCCTTCGTGTGTTTGGCAGCCGGAGTCACGGGGGAGATTCTCGGGTTTGGTTTCTCCGATGGAATTTTCTCATTTCTGCGTCCAGGCATTTGGCTGCGAGCTGCTGCTTCTATAGATGATGTTTTGTATCAAGTGTGCCACTTCCAGTTCTGTCTTTTTGGTCTTTGTTTTAGTCTTTTTGTCAATGCTTCCTTTTGATAATTAGTTTAATTCTATTTTTAAGCTTCATTTACTGTTTGTCTTTCCTTCTGAGGGCTTTGGTATGGAGGTAAATTAGTGTCAAAAAATATTTGGCGTGTGCAACAACATTTGCACTCGCACAACAAGATTTGCATGAATCTTCTCGCCTGTGAATTTGACTTTTGAGCCTTTCACACGCCTTTCAACGCTGGTGAAAAACTGGAACATCTGAACTTGACCATATTTACTGGGTTATTGGGAAAAGACATCTCTGTCTTATAGCTCTTAAACCTTACATAAAAACAGACACATTTCCATTGACATTACTGGGTTCCTAAAATGTTACACTTTGTGCATTGTCCAGCTAAAATTAACAACCTAAAATGAAAAGATAAAAAATGATCAGATTAAATAAATATATATTGCAAGTAAAATACATTTCCCAGCAGTTTTTCCACAAAAAGAAAACCCTACCCATGTAGAGATATTAATTTCAGCTGTGCAATCCACAAAATAAAAAATTTCTCTTAGTTGAAAATCATAACTTCCTGTATTTTTGTGTGGACTGCACATTTAAAGTAAACTACACAAAATTATTAGATTATTGTTGTACGAAAACTACTGGAAGCATTTACTTACCAGTTTCCCTCTGCAAAACATACCAATAAATATATTTTTCTAGAATAAAAATAACTTAAATGTTTTCAATTCTTTACTTCAATTGTACTGTCCACAAAATGAATGTTTAGGGAACCCAGTAATGTTAATGTAAGTGTGTGTTTTGTTACAAGGGTTATAAACTACTAATTATGAAACAAGTTGCTGTGGTAAAGCTCAGATGTCCCAGCTTTTTCACTAGCCTTGAATGCAGCATAACACGTCACGTAAGGTCACATTGACATGTAAACAGATCCGTTTGCTTGATTGTTGCTCACTCAAAATTTTTTGAGACTAATTTACCTCCGTACGTCAGGTATTGGGGTATTACATCCGGAAACAGCAAGACCCAGAAACTTTCATCAACGAGATCAAGTACATCGCCAGCGACCCAGATGAGGAGTATTTCTTCAACGTGACAGATGAAGCTGCGCTGAACGACATCGTGGACGCTCTGGGAGATCGGATCTTCACTCTGGAAGGTGATTCGTAGGAAGAAATTCAGGATGTGCAATCAGAGTATCTGGAGTTCATTCAAACTCATTTGGTAACTAATCGTCAATATATTGATAGGTTACAACTAGTTGTTGATCACAAGCACACAAAATGGAGATTTCTTGGTTAAATGACCAAATAATTAGACACTGACATCATTTATCTGTAACAGAAACAAATCTATAAAGCTGTTTTTTAGTTTGAATTGAAATAAAAAAAAAATTGTGGTAAGTTCAAATTAAGCATTCATCACTGTTAGAACATTATAAAAAGGACATGAACAGTTCTCACAGCAGTTGGAGGGAACTTTAGAGGAAGGATGATGAAAAGTGACGTTGCCCTGAAATGTTCAGAGCAATTAAAGAGGAAGAGACAGAAGGAAAGGAAACATTTGCCACCAGCTGAGGTCAGATCCTCCAAGGCACAAAAAGGGAAAAGGAAGGGAGGAGAACGAGGAAAAGCTGATGTGTTGCTCACCTTTAGGTACGCTGGGCTACAACCAGAGCACGTTCCACATGGAGATGTCTCAGGTCGGCTTCTCCACACACACCCTGGAGGTAAGTCTGCGAGGGTTTTCACACATGCTGCAGCTGAATTTACACCTGATTCAACCCTTTTTTTTATTGTTTCTCCTCTTTCCTCAGGACGGCATTCTGTTTGGGATCGTGGGTGCCTACGACTGGGATGGCGGAGTGCTGAAGGAGGGGACCAATGGACCAATTATCCCAACCAGAGAGGCCTTCGAAAGTGAATTCCCTCTGGAGCTCAAAAATCACGCTGCATATTTAGGTCCAGAAGTTCACTTCACTTCACTTTATTCGTTTCATTTGTAAAATAAATTAACAAAGTACAAAAAAATATGCGGTCACAATAAAATCAAATAAAATGAAAGAGAGCAGAAGAAGAATAAATCTTATATCTGCCCCTTTTTTATACCCAAAATATGTTCAAAAGAAAAGTAAAATACAACAAAGATCAAAACAACTTAAAACTCTTAAAAATGAACTAAAAACAAAATTTAAAACACCAAGTCAAACAACAGTTAGCGTGAATTCACTTATAATTCTCCATATTTCTTCAGAATACTATGTTTTATCATTCTCTTCAATATATACAAAGATCTGGCATTTTTAACCTCATCTACCAGGCTGTTCCATAATCTAATTCCCTGGATTAAAGTGGATCGCTCCTTCAGGCTCGTACCAAACCAGGGTTTCATAAACATTTCAAATCCTTTAAGATAATAACAGCTCTCTCTTTTAACAAAATTTAATTGAATGTTGGAAGGTAACACACCTTTATGAGCTCTGTACATTAACAGCAAAATATTATAATCGACCAAATCATAGAATTTTAATAATTTTAATTCATAAAACAATGTATTTGATGGATGGCTGTATTTTTTTTCCAGTAATAATTCTTATAGCTCTTCTGTAAAATAAAAAATAGGATTTGTGACAGTTTTACAAACTTTACCCCAGACTTCAATACAGTAAATTAAATGTGGAACAATTATAGCGTTATACAACATAAACAGTGCTTTATCATTGAACGGTTCTCTTACTTTGTACAGGACTCCAATTGATTTGGCTACTTTTGTTTTTAAACCATTTATTATACCATTTGATTTGATTTATTGATTCAACAGGAAAAGATTACTAAAANAACTAATACACTATCAGAGTTTTATATATTTATACTTCTCATTCAACCACAGTTAAATTCACTCTATCTAGGAGGCTCAGTTTATATGGATAGTTTTTATTTTTTACAACAACAAGCTGCAATGAAAACAAGCAGAAATGAAATAAAAGTAACGACTTTCAACTTCTTGTCTTTTTTAAAAATGTAAGAAGTAGAAGTAAAAAGTAGGCTGAAAAATAATTACTCAAGTAAAGTACAGATACACAAAAATTCTACTTCAGTACAGTAACAAAGTATTTGTACTCAGTTACTTTACGGTGGGGGGGTTGTATTTTATTAAGGATCCTCATTAAGAAAAACACAGGAAGTCATTTTCTGCGCTCAGATGAGTTCATTTTATTAACAGAACCTAAGGTTCACACTGATTATGGTGGAAGCTCCTCCCACTTTTCTCAGCCTGGACTCTCCTGCAGAAAGACTGGAAGCTGAAGGAGTTGGTCTCTTAATCAGTTTGTACTTAAGACATTTGTTTGTAAATGTTTTAACTGATTTTGTACTCTACTTACCTTTTATAAGTGTTCCTTGTTTTTTTTTTTTACTACCTCCGTCCTCCACCAAGGGCGAGGTAATGTTTTTGGTCGCTTATGTCTGTCTGTCTGTGGACAATATTACTCAAAAACTTGTGGACAGATTGTCATGACATTTTTACCACATGTGTGTTCTGGGCCAAAGAACACACCTGTAAATTTTGGTGATGTTCTGGATCACAATGCGGACACAGGTATTTTTTTTTCTTTCAACACTCTGAGATCGGCAAAGCTGTGATGCTTTCACAGGGCGTGGGTTTCAAAGTGTCCAGCAGGTGGCACTGTAGCATTGGTGTGCCCCTTTGTAACTCTATTACAGGATGGGGGGAAATGGTCTTGGTGGAGGTTTGCGCTCTCCAAGTGCTTCTAGTTTATTTTAGTTTAGTTTTTTCAATCATGAATTGAAATATGAGTTCAAAACAGCAAATATTCCAATACTAAAAAATCCAATAACAGAAAAAAATCTAATAAAACAATAGAAAAAAAAGAAAAATAGAAAAAAAACCCTGAAATATCATGAAGTACTATTTATTCATGTATAATATTAGAAATTTAACCCTAAAAATCATCCATAAAGTG